GTGCGTGTGACAGGTGCTGACAAGGCTGGAAAAGTAGGTGCCTCTTCGATTTCTGAGATCGGCCCTCGTGGTCTCTAGGGAGCCCAGCTTTTGAGAAAGCGAGCGCCTCTTCGATTTCTGAGATCGGCCTTCGTGGTCTTTGAGCAGCCCAACTTTTGAGAAAGCAAACGGCTCTTCGATTTCTGAGATCAACCCTCGTGATCTCTAAGCAGCCCAACTTTTGAGAAAGCAAACGCCTCTTCGATTTCTGAGCAGGCGCCTCTTTGATTTCTGAAGCTCCGTCGAGTGCAGATTTTTATAGAGGCTGGCATTAAGTTCCAAAGCACACTTGAATCTCCACCAGTAGAAGCTTCATTCTTGCACTTCTAAGATCTTGATTTGTCCGACCTCTTCTCTCTTCAACACCTTTGAAAATGTCTGGCCCCTCCGACCGTCGTTTTGACTTGAACCTTGTTGAAGAGGCAGCCCCGCCTTCTCCAGACAACATATGGCGCCCATCCTTCGTCTCCCCAACTGGTCCTCTTACCGTTGGGGATTCCGTGATGAAGAATGATATGACCGCTGCGGTGGTGGCCAGGAACCTTCTCACTCCCAAAGATAACAGACTACTTTCCAAACGGTCTGATGAGTTAGCTGTTAAGGATTCGCTGGCTCTCAGTGTTCAGTGTGCAGGTTCTGTGTCTAATATGGCCCAACGCCTATTTGCTCGAACCCGCCAAGTTGAATCATTGGCGGCTGAAGTGATGAGTCTCAAACAGGAGATTAGAGGGCTCAAGCATGAGAATAAACAGTTGCACCGGCTCGCACATGACTATGCTACAAACATGAAGAGGAAGCTTGACCAGATGAAGGAAACTGATGGTCAGGTTTTACTTGATCATCAGAGATTTGTGGGTTTGTTCCAAAGGCATTTATTGCCTTCGTCTTCTGGGGCTGTACCGCGTAATGAAGCTCCAAATGATCAACCTCTGATGCCTCCTCCTTCTAGGGTTCTGTCCAGTACTGAGGCTCCAAATGATCCCCCTCCGGTGCCTTCTCTTTCTGGGGCTCTACCGACTGCTGAGACTTCTCCTAAGCAACCTTTGTGAAGGCTCCCTCTTGTGTGTTTATTTTGACTCATGTATATGTACATATTTGTAGCTTATCGGGGATATCAATAAATAAGCTTTCCTTCATTTCAACGTATTGTGTTAAATACACCAAAGCCTTCTTCGCTAAGTTCTTTGAATTTTCTTTTGTTGAAGCTTGTATGTTGAAGCTTTCTGAGTGGAGCATGTAGGTTGGGGTAGTGTTCCCTTAATTTCCCGAGTGAGGAAAACTTCTTGGTTGGAGACTTGGAAAATCCAAGTCACTGAGTGGGATCGGCTATATGAATCTTAGAACGCCATTGTGCTCGATCCTGTGTCATGTCCTTCGTTAGATCCAAGTACTCTAAGTCTTTTCTTAGAGTCTCTTCCAAAGTTTTCCTAGGTCTTCCTCTACCCCTTCGGCCCTGAACCTCTGTCCCATAGTCGCATCTTCTAATCGGAGCGTCAGTAGGCCTTCTTTGCACATGTCCAAACCACCGTAACCGATTTTCTCTCATCTTTCCTTCAATTTCGGCTACTCCTACTTTACCCCGGATATCCTCATTCCTAATCTTATCCTTTCTCGTGTGCCCACACATCCAACGAAGCATCCTCATCTCCGCTACACCCATTTTGTGTACGTGTTGATGTTTCACCGCCCAACATTCTGTGCCATACAGCATCGCCGGCCTTATTGCCGTCCTATAAAATTTTCCCTTGAGCTTCAGTGGCATACGGCGGTCACACAACACGCCGGATGCACTCTTCCACTTCATCCATCCAGCTTGTATTCTATGGTTGAGATCTCCATCTAATTCTCCGTTCTTTTGCAAGATAGATCCTAGGTAACGAAAACGGTCGCTCTTTGGTATTTCTTGATCTCCGATCCTCACCCCTAACTCGTTTTGGCCTCCATTTGCACTGAACTTGCACTCCATATATTCTGTCTTTGATCGGCTTAGGCGAAGACCTTTAGATTCCAACACTTCTCTCCAAAGGTTAAGCTTTGCATTTACCCCTTCCTGAGTTTCATCTATCAACACTATATCGTCTGCGAAAAGCATACACCAAGGAAATATCATCTTGAATATGTCCTGTTAACTCATCCATTACCAACGCAAAAAGGTAAGGACTTAAGGATGAGCCTTGATGTAATCCTACAGTTATGGGAAAGCTTTCGGTTTGTCCTTCATGAGTTCTTACGGCAGTCTTTGCTCCTTCATACATATCCTTTATAGCTTGGATATATGCTACTCGTACTCCTTTCTTCTCTAAAATCCTCCAAAGAATGTCTCTTGGGACCCTATCATACGCTTTTTCCAAATCTATAAAGACCATGTGTAAATCCTTTTTCCCATCTCTATATCTTTCCATCAATCTTCGTAAGAGATAGATTGCCTCCATGGTTGAGCGCCCTGGCATGAACCCGAATTGGTTGTCCGAAACCCGTGTCTCTTGCCTCAATCTATGCTCAATGACTCTCTCCCAGAGCTTCATTGTATGACTCATTAGCTTAATACCCCTATAGTTCATGCAATTTTGTACGTCGCCCTTATTCTTGTAGATAGGCACCAAAGTGCTCGTTCGCCACTCATTTGGCATCTTCTTCGTTTTCAAAATCCTATTGAAAAGGTCAGTGAGCCATGTTATACCTGTCTCTCCCAAAACTTTCCACACTTCGATTGGTATATCGTCTGGGCCTATTGCTTTTCTATGCTTCATCTTCTTCAAAGCTACAACCACTTCTTCCTTCCGGATTCGACGATAAAAGGAGTAGTTTCTACACTCTTCTGAGTTACTCAACTCCCCTAAAGAAGCACTCCTTTCATGTCCTTCATTGAAAAGATTATGAAAATAACCTCTCCATCTGTCTTTAACCGCGTTCTCTGTAGCAAGAACCTTTCCATCCTCATCCTTGATGCACCTCACTTGGTTTAGGTCCCTTGTCTTCTTTTCCCTTGCTCTAGCTAGTTTATAGATATCCAACTCTCCTTCTTTGGTATCTAGTCGTTTATACATATCGTCGTAAGCCGCTAACTTAGCTTCTCTGACAGCTTTCTTCGCCTCTTGCTTCGCTTTTCTATACCTTTCACCATTTTCATCGGTCCTCTCCTTGTATAAGGCTTTACAACATTCCTTCTTAGCCTTCACCTTTGTTTGTACCTCCTCATTCCACCACCAAGATTCCTTTTGGTGTGGGGCAAAGCCCTTGGACTCTCCTAATACCTCTTTTTGCTACTTTTCGGATACAACTAGCCATGGAATCCCACATTTGGCTAGCTTCCCCCTCTCTATCCCACACACATTGGGTGATTACCTTCTCTTTGAAAATGGCTTGTTTTTTCTGCTTTTAGATTCCACCATCTAGTTCTTGGGCACTTCCAAGTCTTGTTCTTTTGTCTTACTCTTTTGATATGTACATCCATCACCAACAAGCGATGTTGATTAGCCACGCTCTCTCCTGGTATAACTTTGCAATCCTTACAAGTTATACGATCCCCTTTCCTCATTAGAAGAAAATCTATTTGTGTTTTTGACGACCCACTCTTGTAGGTGATCACATGTTCTTCTCTCTTCTTAAAGAAGGTGTTGGCTAAGAAGAGATCATATGCCATTGCAAAATCCAAGATAGCTTCCCCATCCTCGTTTCTCTCCCCAAAACCATGGCCACCATGAAAACCTCCATAGTTGCCTGTCTCCCTGCCCACGTGTCCATTTAAATCTCCTCCTATAAATAACTTCTCCGTCTGAGCAATTCCTTGCACCAAGTCTCCAAGATCTTCCCAAAATTTCTCCTTCGAACTCGTATCCAACCCTACTTGAGGTGCGTACGCACTAATCACATTGATAAGTTCTTGTCCTATTACAATCTTGATTGCCATGATTCTATCTCCTACCCTCTTGATATCTACAACATCTTGTACCAAGGTCTTGTCCACGATGATGCCAACACCGTTTCTCGTTCTATTTGTGCCCGAATACCAAAGTTTAAACCCTGAGTTTTCTAGATCCTTTGCCTTACTACCAACCCACTTAGTTTCTTGTAGGCACATAATATTTATCCTTCTCCTCACCATAACTTCCACTACTTCCATAGATTTTCCCGTTAAGGTTCCTATATTCCACGTTCCTAAACGCATTTTGCTCTCTTGAACTCTACCCTTCTGTCCTAGCTTCTTCACCCTCCCCCGTCTAATAGGATCAAAGTACTTCTTTTGTGTGTCCCGGGTAAAGTTGATAGGAGCATATGCTCCCAAACAACTTTGAGTGGAGTCGTTCGAAAAGAAGTTTCTATGGCCCCCTTGCTCATTTAACACTGCATCCGGGTGCCGATGGAGATACAGCGACCCTTGCTCACTTATCACTGTGCTCGGGCCACACAGCGCGCCACTTACGGGTGACGCCCTAGCTTTAGCGCGATTTTGTTCTGGATTCATTTTCATAAGGATTCGACGTGATCATGGAGTGCCGGCTGTCGACTACCTGACGCCCTCCCCCTCCTCCTTTATCCGGGCTTGGGACCGGCCATGTAAGACATAGGCGGAGTTACTTGTTGGACTAGCATCCAAAAGATAAATTTTTATTACTCTCATATTAATCGATAGCTTTACTAACATGAACTTGTCTTCCTAAACCTTGGTGTGGCATGACTCACCTCCGCTGAAAGTTTTTGCTTCTTTGCACTCAGATTCTTTTGACTCGCATGGTTTCTAATTTTCAAATTAAAGTGCATCTAAGCTTATAAGTTAGTCCCCCGCTTCATGAGTGATTTTAATTTTTATACCATGAACCGTGATTAGCCTTCCCATTATTGTATTTATCAAACATGTGAATAGAATTTCAATTTTATTCCCAAGCCATTGGCTTTTTATTTATTATTTTGTTCTAAAAGCTTTGGAGGCAACATACAATGAAAAGAAGAAGAACAGCTGATTCAAAAAGCTTTATTCATATGATGACAACCGCAGATACATACACGTAACACGTCCATAGAGCTTTAAACCTCAAAAATATTACAAAAAAAAAAAAAAAAAACACCAAAAAGATATTCAGAGGATAAAATATAGAAACAGCACCCATCCCACGATGAAAATGTAAATACTTTATTTGCATAGAAAAGTGAGATGGTTGGCTCATTTTTTCCAGGCTGAGTGAGCTCTGCTGAGGCTTTTTAAGAGCAACTTCGATGAGGAAATGGTTCCAGCTATCCCAAGAAGGGTGCCAAATGCAATTAGGGTGAGGTTGAGGACCATGAGAGGCCTTGAAATTTGACCCCAGCATATCTTGAGGTAGAAGGCACAGGGAAAAATGATACAAATGCCAATACTCACAAGTGATCCAGTGAGGCTGAGAACATACCCAAAATACGGAACAGAGAGAGCTAGTGCTAGAATCACCAGAAGTAGGACTGAACCGACACTGCCCCGGATTAGAAACTTTGTTCTGGAGCTCAAAGAGGGAGGAAGGTTATGCTCAAGCTGGATAGCCATTGGTGCAAATTCAAGAGCATATTTGGTCATTGGTGTCAGCACAGTTGCCCACAGTGCAATCTTTGTCACTATAAGATGTGGAGGCATGCTCAGAGTGATTTGAGGATTCACCTGAGGACCATACAACTTGGCTCCCATGAATGCTAGGGATGTGTAAAGTGTTGTCACTAGAGTGAAGCTTATTATTGATACCTGCAAGAATTTAAAACATATAAAAGGTTAAATTTGGAGAAAACAAAGTAAAAATATAGGTCGTATTTAGTTCGGTCTTGATGACTTTCGGTAGTTCAAGTTCGATACCTAATTATTATTGGCTCATTGGGTTATTACTTAGTCCAAATCCCCACCTACCAATATCGTTATCTAGCGGTTCCATAACTATTTCATTTTAGGTTAGAGTGTGCTCATACTCTAACAAATGAAGTCCATGATCACCGAGTTTCAATCAAAATAGAATGATTTGTATTGAAGTTTTGTTCACATCCTAATTAGATTGTTATCCAACAGTTGTGGTGATCTGAATTATTTCTTCATGGTTAACGGCGATCAAGAGATTGGGAATGATAGTTTATTTATGTACCATGTTCTAAATATAGATAAAGAATGAAGGAGTACTACATAGACTGGAGAAATTAGTTATTTAACTTATTATATATATGATTGGAGAGACTATAAAAAGTATACCTTGGTGAACTTGGATGGATCTTTCATGGCCTTGTATAAATTGGGGAAAACAATATGTCCTGCAAAGCTGAAGATATAAAGGCCAGATATTGCAGGAATGTTATGAATCTGGAGGGCAGGTATGGTGTGGTTCAATTTCACCCCTCCAAAAATGGCGGTGCATGCCACTGATAAAAATGACGAGTGACATGATAACTCCGCCGAAGGAAAGGAAAGATATGGAAGAGAGATCTCTCAACCAAAGACTAGGAAGAGCTACGAAGACGGCAATCAAGGTTAAGAGCTGAGATTTCGGTAACTTAGCCCACGAAACATTGAGTTGAATCCCGGAGAACACTCTGGCTAGATTGTCATGCAGAGAGATGGTGTAGGACACAAGGGCCATGAAAATCTCCATGTAAACGAAGGATGCTGCTAGAATTTTTCCTCTGGATCCAAATGCATTGTGTCCAATATCTGTGTAGCTTCTTGACTTGGGATGTTTGTCCAGACATTTTCCAAGGAGATGAGAACAATATGCACATATTACCCCAAGTCCTATCAATAGGAATGCAGAAGACCAACCCCCATTTTCTAAGGCATATGGAGTTGATAACTGTCCCAAACCTGCAACCCAAAACGTATGCAAAATTAATTAATTTACAACATATTTGTTGAAGTTTAAGTTAATATTTTTTTTTGTAGTGCAACTGGTGTGAAAAGCTAAATGATATATATAACGATTTGATCAAGGATTATCTTTGCAAACAAAAAAAAAAAAAAAAAAAAAAGATTTGGGTTGTTAGATAAAGTGGAAATGAAAATGCAGTCAATCTAATGACTAAGATATTGTCGATTAAACGAATGGTTAATATATTGTTGTTTAAGCGAATTTATAGCATGAAAGAGTACCTAAAAAATAAACGGTCCGTTGACTGTACAGTACCTAAAAAATAAACGGTCCGTTGACTGTACAATATCTAAAAAATAAACGGTCTGTTGACTGTACCCCAAAACTTGTACCTAACTTTCTCAAGTTGACATCCTTAATATAACCTAGAAAGCGTAAGCGATCTTGTATATATAAACACACAACCGAAACCAAAAACAAAGCTAAGTACTGTAGTTACATGCACATATTAGACCGTTTGATCAAATAACTCTAGTTCATGAAAAATTCATTACCTATGAGCATCCCACTCATGTTGATAACAGACTGAGTAACTGAATTGTTGGCCTCTGCATGGTGCTCAACAACACCCGTGACTCTCTTGCCGCTCTCGAAGCCTTGGTCACACGTACATACTTTGTTTTCCTCCAGACAAACGTTGCAGCTCAGATTCGCACGCTGCCCTGCGTCGCTCACAAGAACTTGATTCTGGTGTGGGAGGCAGTTTGATCTTGATGTTCCGAACAATTTGTTCCACATGTTCATGTCCTAGCTAAGCAAATAAAAGGTTCTAGCTAAGAGATACTTAGTGAATGCTACGTACAAGAAGTGAAGGGGTGGTATATATATACATGTATGAACAGAAGCAATATTCCTACAGTACTATACTGCTCACTACTATCTGAAAAAAGCTGTAAGATGTATAAATTTTTGCGATCTTCCAAATCTAGAGGAATAAGAGGGGTATATTTTTATAACAAAATGAAATTTTACAGGTATACTTTTAAGTACTATTTAGAGGTCGCACTTGGTGCGATGGCAAGTGCCTTCGCCCATGAGCGGTAGGTCTCGGGTTCGAGACTTGGGAGCAGCCTCTCCATAAAATGGGGGTAAGGCTAGCCGACATTCACCTCTCCCAGACCCTGCGTAAAGCGGGAGCCTTGTGCACTGGGTACGACCTTTTTATACTTTTAAGTACTATTTGCAATTAATATGACTTTAAAAATTTGAAGATGTCTCACCTGATAGATACCCAGAGAGAGTTAATTAATTTGGTGTCCACCAGGTTGATGCTAATGGGAAAGTTGGCAAAGAAGTTGACGTACCTCCGTATAACCAGTTGGTGATATGGGGAGTAGTATTATCTCTTATAAAATGGTTTGGTTATTCACCGATGTGGGACTTTACCCTCACATTCTCACAGGCCTCCTTATTTGTAGAGTATTTTCAAGCTTAATACGTAGACAACACAAACAGTGTGACGTGGAGTACGTACCATGAAGAAAGTTGAAGTTCCACTTTAAAACTAATTGACAATATGAGAATGAGAAGTAGCCCAACATCTTGCAAGCCCTAACATAGTTTGGTGCTTCACCAATGTGAAACTTTGTTCTCACATTCTCATATAATTTGCTAACGCAACCAACTTGACCTCATAACTATTCCCAAATCTACCGAATGCATGTGAATCATGATCAAGGTGTTTCACTCATGTATTAAAATTAAATTTCGACAATTAATTGGCGGGAAAGGTGCACTTAAAAAGCACATAGACAATTATGGGTATGCCGACGCTAACTCCCTTTAATTAAGGAGTTAATCCCTCTGCAATTTGGCAACATCACGAACCGGAGTAACATGTACGATACAACAATCTTACTCAAAGGTTGACAGCGTTAGAAAAGAAAACGAAAAGCTAAGAGCTAGACACAACGTTAATTCTCCACTAAAAAAGTAACAACATGAATTAAGTGAATCAAACAAAATTTCCCACGTTAATAATTGGTTATCAAGTGGAATATCTTTTTCGGCCGAGATCTGATGAAATCTATATATGAGTACTTTTGGTGTTTAATGATTCATTTAGAAGTGCTTTTAAAATGACTAAAATGCTTTTGATGATAGTGTTTTGGAACCAATCATTGGTAAAAATGCAAGTGAATCATATAAAAACACTTGAAGTACTTCCTACAAGAAGCACATAACTGGTGCTTCCTGTAAGAAGCACTTTAAGTACTTTTGGAGTTGATAAAAAATATTTTCCCCAAAAACGTTTTCAATTATTTGAAAAACACTTTTAAACGAGCCCAAAGTTCAAATACAATTTCGGTGTATTGCATTGGCATCTCAACCGCTACACCTAAACAAACGAACATTTTTTTTTTCATATTTAAGTTGAAGACTAAATCAATCTAGCAGCAACTCATTACTAGCATTGTCAAGGTATAACATAAACGGCTGAAAACCTTAGGTCCCAACACCAAGTACCTTCACATCAGCACCAAGAATATGATGACGCAAGAGCTTTGGTAAATTTCACGTTAGAAATCCTATGTATGGCTGAATGCGAATTTTCTCATACTCATTATTCTCACAATGTATATATTCGTTTGGTATCTTTAATGTAAAGAATTGTATAACTAGTGTGTTGGATTTGTACCCATGAATCTCGGATTGGATTTTCACCCATGCATTACAGGTTCTAAACTCTTGTAATAGTGGTGTTGAGTTTCCACTCATGCATCCCGAGTTTGAAATTTCATCTTTGTAATAGTTTCGAACCCTTCATCTCTCCTTAATACTAATAACTTCTTTGTTTAAAATCAAATTCCATAAACTAGTGAGTTTTGTAGGAAAATGATGCAAAAAAAAAAAAAGAATAAAAAGATGTGAAACGAATTAAGGGTATCAAATTGTGACATGGCCTACCCTTTGCCTCCATAAAACGTTTTTAGTTGAAAAATGCGACAAGACATAACTGAGAACATGTAGGGAAAGTTGATTCCAAACGAACCAGATGCGCCTGCCAAATAACCTTCATTCCCCTTGCAGGTTGGAGAAGAAAAACATATGATACCATTCATATTGCCTAGAACGCGTACCAAAGATTCTATGATATCTGCTTCTTTTTATGGATATTGTGGGAGTTGAGATCCTCTCTGGATTTTTGTGTCCAAATCGCAGACCGAGAAATCCAGACCAATCATTTAAAACCCTACAACCTCTATTTGTTTATTTCATCGACTCATCTCACACAAACTAAGGGTTCAAATCTCTCTCTCATTTTTTAAACGGTCCGAATTTTTTGATCCGCGTGCTTCAGACTTGGGGAGATCGGGAGAGCATAATTGATTCTACTGAGGGACACATGGTTGATGTTACTTCTTTGTGCCTTTTATGCACTGCATATCTTATTTAATTGTTGCATCTACTTTTTGACATATATGGTTCTAAGGCATGTCTAGACGGCTAACAAAAATTAGGAAAATGGGTTATCAAACTTCATCCGCATCAGTGCAAGAGATCGTGAAGAATGAGAATCTAGCATTTGGGTTTTCTAAAAGAAAGCATGTTTAAAAGGAGATTAATTTAATTCGGAATGGGCAAAAATGACTTCTAGAGGGGGAGAAATGGCCATGGCTACAAGGACATGTTTGGCATTGTTGTGGGTTTAAAAAATTATTTTTGATGTGCTGTCCTGTGAGAATAATTAATTGTGAAATAAATCAATTACGTGTTTGACAAACTATGTTTGTAAATGCGCTTCGACACAAAGCACTGTCAATGTGCTTATTAAATTTTGAATAATACTTGTGTCTCGCCCTTGGTGGAACCTCCTCATTCTACCCATTTTATTTAACGAATTTTCTTATGCATATGTTATATTCGAAACTGGTCAGCTCCTAAATCATCATTTCAAGATTATCTATGCAAACTTCAAATACATATTGATAATTTAGTAATATGTATGTATTAAACAAATAAATGGTTTTGGTAACAATTAAGATCGTCATAGTGAACTTTCAATTTAATTTATACATATAAATGACTAAACGATTTCGGGTTCAGTTGATTTTTTTTTATTTTTATAGAGATGCTCTTGAAATGATGATTTAGGAGTTGAACGTTTCTAATTATGTAATCTATATAGAAAAAATTCGTTAAATGAAAAAGGTGGAGGTAGAAGAGATGTAATTATGTAGAATGACAAAAAAAGAAAAGATAATGTTCAAAGTGTTTCTTACTTATTTGTTTTGCAAAATGAAACTTAATTTCACTACATATGCTCCTTTTTATAAAATCTGTGTCTTAATTTTCTTTTTTGCCGAAATTCGAGGTATCCCACGTTTCAAAAAATAAAACTAATCTAAATTTTCAATATTGACAAAAATAGAGATAATGTTCGAAGTTTTGCTTATTTGATTTTTATCCTTTAGTATTCATGTATAACCTACATTTAACTTATGGCCTCATAGGTGTATATAACCAATAACCCTTCTAATATAAAAGGAAGGCCTCACCTACATGATTAAGATCATAAGCTTTGAAAGCAAATTTCGTTGTCTTTCTCTACTTCTTACCTCTCTCTATCCACCATTAGGCTCATACTTCTCAAGTCTATTCAACCTCTCCACATTCTACCATTAATCTCATAAAATACACATGACACATAACAAAGCGAGCCATAAAAAATATGTGTCAACATATAAGAGCTACAGCGGGTAGCCTGCCATACATAAGGAAAATTTTAACCACTCAAAATTAGAGAGGGTATAAATAAAGAACTAAGGCATAAGCCTCATTAGGGCTTTGTGTGAAAGAAATAGGAGAAAACCAAACTCTCTCCCTATCCTCTCTAATAGTCGGCCGCCTACAGGTGATTTCACTAGCATCAAATCACTTCTAGATCATCTATCTCTTCTTCACATCTCACTTTGGTGGGGAAACTTAGAGGCTCCAGGAACTTGGAAATCTCATTCAACAAATCTACGATGAGCAAAGATCCAAAAAGGAAGGAAAGAAGTCCATTTAAGCTCAATCATTTCTCCTTTCAATTTGTGTTTAGTTTTGGTTTACCTTTCACTAGATTTTTGAATTTTCATGGGATAACGATTGGATTTTGTGTTCATACTTTCATTAATTCTGCTATAGTACTAATTTTAATGCGTATGTTGCTCAAATGATCTTAATTTAATAAAGTTTTTCCTTCATTTTGGGCATGGCGCGTCTTTTCTTCTAGAGCAGCAAAGTGAGTAAGTCCATTGTCATGGCATGTTTAGGCAGAGTGTCGATATGTTGTCTGCTGGGCGTGTAGGTACAACGACTAGCGTGCTATGTGCTAAGGTGACCAAGAAACTCAAAGAATGGCGTCGAGCTACTAAGAGTGAGGACTTCATGACTTCAAGTATGAAAAGTGGCGCATATGTCTCCAAGTGCTTAGAGGAGCTTTGTAGACATAGATGGTTGTTGGGTCTTATACACATGGAGTCATACGATGATGCACCTCGACCTGAAATGTCCATCTGGACTCCAAATTGAGTTGGGTTGGCTGACACTATGAGGGTGCCGAAGCCATAAAATGTAGTGATGTGGAAAATATGAATAAATTTAAACCTAAAAGTGCCTAAATATAAGAGTGCGCTTGTGAGCGGGATTGAACCCATTTCACATGTGATGTCAGAGTATAAGTAAAGTATAGTAAAGTAGGATGAGAATCATACCATCGAAGGTAACCACCTATACCAAGATTTTCCAAGAATCCTCTTCGACCCGAAATCTCAGCACTAAAACCTGGAGGGGCGAAAAATAAGGGTGAGTGAGCCTAAAAATAAATCTTTGTAAAAACCTTTTCGAAAACATAATAACCCATTGCCGTAAAACAAGTATAGTTTCTAAAATATAAA